CATCTTGCATGTTGTATATCTGCCCCAAGTAACCAAATAAAACATTTCAAGGAATTTTTGCTGGTCAAAATGCTTGAAATCACGGAAGGTGTCTAACTTTGTTACGGGATTAGTGCAGTAGTAATTTCGCATGTAATGATACAGTGATCCGAGACATTGTGGGACGGTAAAACTTTAACATCTCTAGTGTCTTGGTCTTTAGAGCAGATAATCAAATCTATTAGAGTGTTCGAAAGCCCTGTGATGCGTGTAGGCTCATTAACAATTTGTTTTAAATCAAAGGATTCCAGCAAATTCAATAGCATATCGTTAGCAGGTGAATTAGCAAACATGTTCATATTTAAATCTCCTAATAATATAGCGAAATGTGAATCTGGAACCAAAGTTGCCAGAGAAGATTCTAGAATTTGGAATGTTTTTATAATGTTGCATCTAGGAGGCTTATACATGACACCTATTAAGTACAATTTTGATTGCAACTTCAGATTTATCCATAGTTCCTCTAGATCTGAGCTAATCCATTGATGCGCTATGGTAACATTAATGTTGTTTTTGAAATAAACGCCTACACCACAACCTCTAGTCAACCTGCCAGCGTGTACGAATCTGTAACTTGGTCTAGTTATCAAGGAAGGATCTATCGCACCGTTAATCCAAGTTTCCCTCACAGCAAAAATATCAAAATTCTCAATTATAACCAAATCCTTTAGAAATTGGAAGCCAGTGAATAAGGACCTAACATTGAGGTATGCAATCTTCATATCTTATTTGATTGGTAAAGTAATGATCGTGATTATATTTAACCTGATATGTGTAAGTGTAAAAAGCGGTGTTGATTACGCCAGCATACAAAAGTAAATTGAAATAATAGTAAACTGACTAACCTAACACTGATAATATTCATACACGTTGCCCTGAGATGCTATTGTTTTTTCGATTGAGATTGTTGTCTTGGCCTCGAATACTTCTCTCCTTTGTCAAGTTTCTGCTTCTTCTCAGCCTGGATTTGTTCCGGAGAGAGTAATCTCTTATCCGCCTGGTTTTGTTTCACCTCTCCGTCTTCTTCCGCTTCCTGGCCGGTAGCAAGGTCGTCAACAGCGATACCCACTTCCAGTTGATCAGGTGTAAATCTTAGCCCATTTATTTCCAAGCTATTGCCTACAATTCTGGCTGGTATAGTTTGCTTTCTTTTTGTGTTTCAAAAGTGCTTTAAAGTTCTTCCTGTCCTCATAGCACAAATCATTAACGATAGATATGCTTTTACCCTTTAGTTTATGCACATTTGAGAAAATTTCTTGTTTTTTCAGATGAGATTTTAACTGGAACATTATCTTTATCGGTTTTTATTCCGAACACGTTAACAATGTCTGGTCTTTCGATCGTAACGTTAAGTTTCTCCTTTAGTTCGTTGCTGACTTTATCCAGTAAATTATCTTCTTGCATGGACACCTTCAGGCCGAATTTAACTATATTATTTCTTCCTACAGCTCTTTCTAAGTGTATATATTTAGATTCCAATTCCTTATGCTTCTGTTCGAGTTCCTTAATTTTTACGTTTTGGCTTTCAATTACTAGTCTGAGTTTGCTGTTCTCGTCCTCTATGTGTTGCTTAAGGTTACTTTCCACCTTCTGCCCCCCCCCCTAATAGTTCATTGTTCGTTATCTGGCTAGAGTTAGATATCTTCTATGCGTTTTCTATATTTTTGCAACAGCAGAATATCGAGCAGAAGACCTTGAAGCTTACTTATGCGAGTAAACAACAAGTGATCCAGTAGCAGCTGCACACTTCCGTATAGTAGTATAAGACTTCTCTTGAGGAATTTATCTATGATGTTATCGGACGGGTTTTTATATACATTTGCTGGACATGTAGTTGTGAGGTTATATATGACTTTTTGGGCTGTTATATACTTACCCCCTAATATATTAACTTCACCTGACGCACAATGGTTCCCCTTAACACCTCAAAGTTCATGTATTTTTCGCTTGATATGACAGATAACTGAATGGTTATAATGAACTTAGCAAACTACACATTCAGTTGCATATCCGCTGATGCGAAGCGACGCGAAGACTATTAGTCATTTGCACAAGTGAAACCTGACCCTATGGCCGTGTTTGTAGTTGTTGACTCAAAACACAGGTTTGATAACTTTTTTCTAAATTTGCAACATGCGGGTCTGTCTAGGTCTTTTGCTGTGTCCAGGTCGATGGCTCTTGCACGATGTAACCATACCTACATGCTTCCGGACAGAGACATCCAGAAAAACGATCTGAATACACTTGAAAACACTCAGCGTAAACTAACATCAAATCGATAACTTCTTTATTGCAAATATGCTAGGTTAACCTACGCACCGCGCGGTGCCTGACTTTGCTTATTGTTCCATGATATATGCCCTGAAAAGGTTCCTTTAAGGACAGAGTGTATACAGGGTGTTAGTTTATTGTTGCATAACTTTAAGATTCGATAGAACTTTTAAAATTAATGCATACAGTCTATATAAACATGGGTCGAAAAATGCGCGGCTTCCGAAATACTAAATTTACTTTCAAAAATAGTTTTTTTTTTAAATATTTCGAACAATATTTGATGTATAACAGTGAAAATTGGTATACAAGGGTTTTTTGGTACGGCAAAACGAACCATGGGCATAGTTTTACTGTAGCCGCTAGAGGACGCTCTCTACTGTACCTGTAGTGTATTAAAATGACCGAAAAATTTTTCTTAGTGCAATTTTTTGCTTTTTGAATAAAAAAACTGATTCTTCGCACTTTTCAACATAAAAAATCTCTCTTGTGAATTTTTGTTATAGTTAGCCGTTTTTGAGATATTTCGATTTTTAAGGTTCGATGCATTTTTAATTATTTATGATAAAATAACGTTAAAATGTGAGTACCTCGATAATTTTTAGAAGTAGGCTGTGCCTGCAAATATTTTTGAAATTGAAAGCAGAATAAGGTTAAACGTCAATTAGTTGACAGTTAGTTTTGTTGTCTGTTGAAACCTGAAACGTTTTTTTGCAATTGTGAATGCACGAAATTTAGTTTCTTTTACCTGTTTTTTTTGTAAGTTTTATAAAAATGCCATTTTTATTCTCCAATCAAGAGTTAGCCGATATTCATTTTGTGTATGGCTTTGTAAATGGAAACGGAGCAGAAGCAGCCAGAGAATACGCACGAAGATTTCCAAACAGACGACATCCAACTCGCTCAGTATTTGTAAGAGTGCATCGCCAAATAACTGAAAATGGTTTTGGAAATCTCCAAAGGGAACAAAACATAAATGTTCGTCAGCGCAGATTTACCTGTATGATTCTGCGTGAGTTTGATAGAGATCCGACCACAAGTGTTAGGAGAGTTTCTGGTGCTTTGGGAATTTCAGCAAGCCATGTTCACCGTGTTCTTAGAAATGACCATAGACGTCCTTACCATTTGCAACCTGTGCAAGGACTACAGCCAGGGGACGGAGAACGAAGAATCACATTTTGTCAGTGGATTCTTGATAGAACTGATAATAATAGGGAGTTTTTAAGTAACGTTTTATGGACCGATCAGTCATGCTTCACTAGACGTGGAGTGGTAAATTTTCATAATCAACGTATTTGGTCGCATGAAAATCCGCATGCAGTTCGGGAAAGAAATTTTGAGCATGAATTTAGTGTGAACGTGTGGATTGGTATCTACCGTAATCGACTATTTGGACCCTACCTTTTGCCGGCAAGGTTAAATGCTGCGACCTTCTTGGAATTTTTAAAGGCTGAACATGCAAATATGTGGGATGATGTTATGTTAGATTTAAGAAGATTGGCCTGGTTCCAGCTTGATGATTGTCCAGCTCATTATTCGAGAATAGTTAGAAATTGGCTGGACGAAAATTATCCGGAAAGATGGATCGGCCATGGAGGACCAGTCGCCTGGCCTCCACGATCCCCTGACCTAAATCCATTAGATTTCTTTGTGTGGGGATTTCTAAAAGAAAAAGTGTACCAGACTCCCGTAACCACAAGAGATATGCTAATAGACAGAATCGGGAATGCATGTGATGAAATAAGGCCTTATTTGAATAGTGCTATACCACGTTCGATCATTCGTAGATGTGAATTGTGTATTGAACAATTGGGTTTACATTTCGAGCAACTACTTTAGATTTTGTATGTTTGTCCTAACTATCCAATAGCATTTTAGTTGTAAATAATTAATTTAATTTGTTAAAATTGGAAAATTAAACAAGTTAATATTCTGTTTTTTTGTGTTTATTTGGAGTTAGGAATTATTGCTGTGTTTAAAAACGCAATCTAAACGATCATCTTAATTACTTTAATGCCCAAATCGAAAAAGTAAAAAAAAAAATATTATTTTCCCATAAATAATTAAAAATGCATCGAACCTTAAAAATCGAGATATCTCAAAAACGGTTAACTATAACGAAAACTCACAGGAGAGCTTTTTTATGTTTAAAAATGCGAAGAATCAGTTTTTTTATTCAAGAAGCAAAAAATTGCACTAATAAAATTTTTTCGGTCATGTTAATATACTACAGGTAAAGTAGAGAGCGCTCTCTAGCGGCTGCAGTAAAACTATGCCCATGGTTCGTTTTGTCGTACCAAAGAACCCTTGTATACCAATTTTCAGTGTTATACATCAAATATTGTTCGAAATATTTAAAAAAACTATTTTAGAAAGTAAATTTAAACACCCTGTAAATACAGGGTATTTCGGAAGCCACGCATTTTTCGACCCATGTTTATATAGACTTTATGCATTAATTTTAAAAGTTCTATCGAATCTTAAAGTTATGCAACAATAAACTGAAACACCCTGTATAAAATCCTGGCAGTTCACTTTCGGCTCTGCTGCCGAGGAAAGCTCCGTAGATAACTACACAGCGTCAGCCAGCGACACGATTCTGCGTGGCAGCTTCCCCCAATGTGTGCCGGAAATTCGCAAAAATCATCAGCGTGACTTTTGGGGAAATTGCTTAGTACTTTGTGATATACCTTAACGATATTTCGTAATGGAACGGAATCCATTTAGGTTCTATCTCGGGCTCTGGTTTTGTACGTCTCTCCATTTCATGCTTCAAGTTGCTTCTGCAGATGTCAATCTCTTCTTCTTCAGGAGGCGCAGTGCCCTGTAACACGGGTTTTTCTAGCCTCATATCGTTATGATTCGCTTTGTTGTTCACCCATTTTATGCTATAACTTTCTAGACCTAGAGGTAATGTAGAAAATGTATTTATTATGTTAAATTCTGGCGATTCGCAACTATGCTTCAGCAGCTGCTGACGAGTTTGTTGAAATGAGTTTGGTACTATCTAAGATCAACAGCAATGGAAAAATGTTACCACAGTCATATTTTTTTATTCGACATTTTTTTATCTTAAGAATCAGTGGCGCGCCACTTCTATATTAAAAACTTTACCATCTTGTATTTTAAAAGTTGAGACGTTTTGGACATATATTCATATGAAGTTTTCCTCTCAAAATTGACGCAAAAATGGCCCCCTTAAATATTGACATTCAATTTGGAAACACACTGGATATTTGCTCATTGGTTTTTTATGAAATCACTGATTTTGGAATTTGTGTTTTCATTTTAAAAAGCCTCGCATTGACCTAATAGTGATATTTCTTAAAATCAGACCTTCTCTCCGTTCGTAAAAGGGTTTAAGAGTTCCAATCGTATGCCCTTTAAAATGTTCTACAGCACGATGATACACTTCACAGCGACACAGTTCCATTTTTGTTTGAAATCGCAAAAGAATTAGATAAACTGCCAATGTGGTCTTAGGATTTCAACTTTGACATGTCTACAAAAAATGACGAGAACAGTCATTCTGACACTATCTTACCTATGATTATTTTGACCAGACTGTAGGTGAAAAACGTAAACACATGGCATCAATTTTTCGTATCCGAGCCTTGATCGATTGTCTCCAACCCTTTTTTAAATAGTTAAATTGATAAAAATATTTATACTGACTTTTCTGCTGATTATTGCCTGAGTGTACATTTTGTAAAAAAATTGTTTCAGATACGTGAGAGCTTAAATAGTTCCGTGTCACCCTGTGAGAATGTGTGGGAGGCAGCATGTGGTAGCTGGTTAAGGAACAATCCTCTTCCAAAAGATAGAAGCATTTGGAACTACAAGCAACAAGTTGTTAGAAAAGGTAGTTTACTATTCGATATTTGCGCTCAAGTTATGATACTAATGCCCACTGTTTTAATCGCTGTAGTCTTACTGCTAACCAGAGTTAACCCTCAAAACGCATCAATGCTAATTGTTTAACTTCTAAGTTATGGTTATGGTGAGCAAACTCCAATGTTAACCAGCGATTAAAAAATTGGGTCAGAAAATGCAGCCAATCTTTGAAACTCAAAACTATTTTGACCAGAACCGTCAGTCAGACCGAGATTTGATGATTGACTGTATTATGAACTTGGCTTCTCATACAAGATTTACTTAATCACTACAAATCATGCAGGTATGAAATAAGTTTTTGAATACATTTTGTAATTTTTGTCTCAATTATTTTTTTCAGAATTGGAACAGGTACGAGATATCATAGCAACCCTGGAGCTGCCTCTCCATACAAACACCTTAGGGTGGAAGTTAAGACATTTGTATGAATCATGTGTGAACGTTGACGACGTGAATGCTGAGAGAGACACACCTCTCAAGAATATCATCTCCGAACTTGGTAAGTTGCATGAAAATTAAACGTAGCAACGATACATTTGTTTTTACATATTTTTATTTCACATTATCAAGAAGATAGTGGAACAATTAGGATGTGGGAAGGAACCATTCTAGGGCCAATTGTGTTTAATGCGTAGAATAACGAGTTTCCTGTAATAACTGATTAACGTACACTACCTGCAGATAGCGCACCATATATTGGCGTTTAAAAAGGGACATAAAGCAAAAAATGCCGCTAAGATCTTCAATATTTTTTGCACTGGTAGTGCATTTTAATTAGATATTTTCGAGCATTGATTAACGTATCCCACCTGAAGATACCCTATTAAAATAGGCATTAAAAAGAAGCCAAAAGGGGATTGCAGCTCCTAGCGTCATCTATGACACAGTAGCAGAATCAAACAGTATCTTTTCAAAATAAATTTCTATTTTTTACTGCTACTGATTTATAGATGGCGCATCTATCTTTCAGATTCCTTTCTGGACACGCGAATACAGTATATGGTTGGTAATTTCCAGATAGAATAACGTTAATGAATGCTCCAGTACTGAATCGCAGAACTGATACTTGCAGTTAACATGAAAATTTACTTAGAAACCAGTGTGAAATAATAAATTTCTATACATGCAGTGCATGGCTGCCATTTGTCCTAATTTGCCTTAAAAAGGGGAGGTCGTGCAGTTATTGTTGCTCCCAGCGAAAGGCAAAGGAATGCGGGCGGGAAATAAGGATGATTTCAGATGTTGTGCATGGAACATAGTTATTCTGTGATTTGGATTTAATAAGATGAAACGGTTGGTTTGGACCTTCAATGTATTTCAATCAATATTTTTAATATACTGGCACGACAGTTCCATATATTTCATTTTATTGGTTTATAAATATTCAAATTCATTTTTTTATTCCGATTTGCTGCAGCGTTCGCTATAGTTTTTGATTACACCGCGTTTAATGGAAGAATATAAATAAATATTTTATCTGCAATAAATAACTACAAGGTACCTGCTGGTAATCTCAACTATGATTTATTACTAGTTACTTACATTCTAAAAATACTGTTGATGTAGCTTCTTTGGATTGTGACGATTCGAAATATGGAGATTGCGTGTTATTGACCCCAAAGGTAGTGCAGCTATAGCCAAAAACCTTGCGGTTATATAGATAATTTTCAAGCATGACGTGACTGGTACTCCTATTGGTTGCAGAACAAACACAAACGGATTGCCATTTAGTTCAATGTAAATTAGCTGCACTATGTTTTCTTATGTCTCTCAAATCCTTGATGTAAATAGACGGGAATCTATTGGAAATTGTTAGTTATTCAGAGTGAAATGCCTTCCCTTGTGTGCTGGTGGATCAAATTATTAAACTATTCACCACCACACCAAGGAAAAAAATTTGATGGTTTCTATACAATGCATGGTAAACACAGTAGTGAGTTTTTCTTAGATGGCAGGAATAGCAGAAATAAACCAAATGTGACACCTCGTTTGCTTATATGGTATCAAAAATGTGGAACAATCTGGAAGAAGAATCTTTACATAGTTCTGCCATCGATTAGCATATTCTACCTGTAGTTAGTTAACCATATTCTGTATTCCAACGTCCAAAAAGGGATCTGGAAGATACTAGCGACATCTGTGAGGCAGTAGCAGAAGACAACACTGAATTCAGAAATTCACTTTGAAAACAGAGTATTTCGTTCTGCTATTGTATCACAGATGGCGCTAGGTTCTTCAATCCTATTTGGCTTCTCTAATGCCTGTTTTAATTGGATATGCTTAGGAGGCATATGAAAAGCAAATTCCTACGGCTCACAAAACGAAAAGCACAATAGCCTTTCACGATTTATTTTTTCAAAGAATCAAGCTCATATATTCTCCTTATGATTAATAACGTTTAACAATACTCATTCATCAAAATTACAAGATTAATATGCAAGACAACGTCGGATGTCGAGTACCCGACGACCGGGTACCAGTTCGTTCACAAAGCACCGCTTGTACTCTTCGTGTACCACCCAGTCTGTTTGCTTTCTTGATATAATTACATTTAACGCGACATAAAGGGCATCTTTGATTTAAACTGGGTGCAGATGCTATGCGACCTGCTTAAGTATACAGTGGTGGCTCATATACAGAGTGCTACAGAGTGTGGTGAGGGACATTAGGACATGCTGAATGCACATCAAAATATAAAAACGTACATATGGGCATAGAGCTGTAAATTCTTTGTTCCCGTAATAGTTGACACGATTTTGTTAGTTTACAGAACATTTCTTGAATACAGATTGAGGTATCGAGATATTTTGGCAAACACAAATGTGTCACATCAAAGGTCACAGTAACATGTACAAAACTGTTTTCTGAACTGATATTATTAATGCTTTTATTTTTGGACATTTTGAGCATAACTAATAGATACGTACAACAGAATAAATACTATGAAAATGCCCATTAGTTACACTCGTGACGACAAATCACTATATTTAGCCTCTGGTCCCAATTTAATATTAGTATCTTGAAGCCAGAGTGGTTCAACTTGAAAACTGCCTCAAGTTTTTCATTTGTTTTTGGAACGAACACAGTGCCAATTTTAGATGTTATATGGCGTATGCATCACAAAAAACCATGCCACTCGTTTCCATTGGTCTGCCTGTCTGTTGGTACGTCTGTATATCTGTCCGCTATACCTTGATCTCTCTATAGCATGCAAAGTACTACTATACCAATGACAGTAAAAATCAATTCAGATCCGTTTCAGAGAATCCTGCTCATTTCCAGAAATTTTTTCTGGGGAGTGACGAACATTTGGGGTTGCAGGGAGTAGGGGATTATAAATGTTGCGTCTTTGGTATCAGTGAAGACGTTTTATTATTCAGAAATTGTGATTCCTGAAGTGTTACCCATCTGTTAGACACAATATCACACATACTTTGTATAACATTTATGTGTGGAAATTTCATCAAAATCCGAACGGTACTTTCCAAGTCTTGATGTACTACATAATATCTCAATTTCAAATTTTTTCACTTTTACAATACTTCCTCGCCATTTTTGGCATAGGATGTAAATTAAGTATGAAAATGGACTCTGATACTAGATATGGTGCATATTCAAAGTCCATAGCTTCAATTTCTTTAAATTAACAATACTGTTTTTCACTGATCTCGTTCTACTTAACGGGCTCATGTCAAGGTAAAATAAGGTATACTAGAGTGTGCAAACGTTTGTACAGGGTGTTTCAAATTCTACCCTTACCACTGGGATCTCGGAAACTGTAAGAGATACGCAGTAGCCTGAATAGGGGTAAAGTTTCGTATTTAGGTTATCAACAAAATGCCGCCTAGAAAGGTTCTAAATTCAAAGTACTTCCTGAGAGAGATGGAAAAAACCGAATCTTCCCAAAATCGTTTTAATTTTTTACTGATTATAGTGGGATTTGAGAATAAATTGCAGACTAACATTGCCACTTTTCTCCTCTACAAGGTGGCATAATTAGAATTTCGATATGACGAGTCGTCTTTGGTCCTCCAGCATCAACTTTATTTTTTCTAATAGACAGTTTTTAGTTCTGATTCCCAAAATCTGATTTCCCAAACTTCATACATTGACATTGCCAAACCTTAGTTATTTCAAAAAAGCAGAGATGGCTTGGTAGGCATTGAAATTACCAGATAGTCATTTGTTTCGAACACCAAATTTATCCCAAAATCTCTTTTATTTTTTTCTGTCTTTCAGATGGGATTTCAAAATGAATTGTAGGTTGTCAATATTATTTGTTCTCCTCTACAAGATCGCGTAATCAAATTTTCAATTAGACATTTCTTTGTTTCTTCATATAGACACTATATTGGAATTTTGTACTTTCAACTTTTTAGTCCTAAATTCCGTGATGTGTTTCCTTAGTTGGTGAAAAATTTGTTGTTGGATGAAGATTATAAGGAAATAAAAGGGTGTGGTGAAACCTGAACACAACATGAACATTGTATTGATTGTAATAATAATAATCATAAACAAGCAGAGGTAAATCATGGCAGATGTTCAAAATGTCCGTTGCTTTGTAGGCAAAGCCCGACCCTTCTCCGTACATTGTTCACTGCTCGATTTATTTCTCTTCTTCTTAGTCTGCCAAACTCTGTTGCTATCTTCAATTTGAGGTCTGGCCTAGTATACGAAACAAATAAAATCATAATTTCATTTCAAGGCCTACCTAGGAAATTTTGTTTTTCTTGAATAACTAAGGGCTCGCAATTTCAACGTATGACAGATTATACAGGTACATGTTTGAAATGAGAATTAGAAACTCTATTCATCTGTGCAAAAATCCAATATGACGTCTATAAAAAAAATAAAGTTTATATT